AATAGAGTGTAGCCCGCCACCCTGCGAAGAAAGCTCATTTCCGCTGTTTGTATTCGCGATCTCATTCTTTCGGTCATTACCCACAGCTCATGACCATAGGTGAGGGTCGGGATGTAGACCGATCGGTAAACAGAGAGCTTCGCCTTATGGCTCAGCTCCCTCTTCACCACTACAGTCCGGTACAGCGACCGCATTACTGCTGCCGCCTGTCCCAGCCTGCGGTCAATCTCACGATCCCTCTTCCCATCACTCGTGAACGAGACCCCGAGATACTTAAACTCCTCCACCTGGGGCAAGTCCTTTCCCCTTACCTGGAGTGGGCATGCCATCCTTCCTTTTCCGGGCTAAGACCATGGACTCAGACTTGGAGGTGCTGATCCGCATACCAGCTCTCACTCCGGGCGTACAGAGATCGAATGGCCCGGAATAGTAACCCCGGCACCCCATACTCCCAGAGGACCTCCCACAAGATATCTCGGGGAACACGGTCATAAGCCTTCTCCAAATCCACAAAACACATGTAGACTGGGTTGGCAAACTCCCATGCCCCCTCAACAATCTGTGAGAGGGTGAAAAGCTGGTTCGTTGTTCCACGGCGAGGATGGAATCCGCATTGTTCCTCCTCAATCTGGGGTTCAACTATCGGTCGAAGTCTCCTTTCCAGCACCTTGGCATAGACTTTCCCAGGTAGGCTGAGCAGTGTGATACCCCGATAGTTGGCACACACCCTCCGGTCCCCTTTCTTGAAAATAGGGACCACCACCCTGGTCTGCCAGTCCAAGGGAACTGTTCCCGAGGTCCATGCACTATTGCAGAGGCGTGTCAGCCATGACAGCCCCACAATATCCAGAGCCTTAAGCATCTCCGGACGAATCTCATCCACCCCCGGTGCCTTGCCACTGAAGAGCTTGCCAACTACCTCAGTGACCTCCACCAGGGAAATGGAGCTTGACACGCCAGAGGCCTCTGGCCCTGACTCCCGTGAGGGAGGCATGTCTCCCGGATTAAGGAGTTCCTCAAAGTGCTCTTTCCACTGACCGACAATATCCTCATTTGAAGTCAGAGTTTCTCCACCCCTGCTGAATACAGCTTGGGCGCAGCCACCCTGACCGCTCCTGAGTCGCCGGACAGTTGTCCAGAACCTCCTCGAGGCCGACCGAAAGTCTTTTTCCATGGCTTCACCAAACTCCTCCCACGCCCTGGATTTTGCTTCTACCACTGTTGCAGCTGCCACCTTTTTTGCCTGTCGGTAGCTATCTGCTGAATCGGGAGTCCTTCAGGCCATCCAGTCCCTAAAGGCCTCTTTCTTCAGCTTGACGGCCTCCCTCACCACCGGTGTCCACCAGGGGGTTTTTGGGTAACCGCCATGACAGGCACCAACAAACTTTTGGCCACAGCTACGCCTGGCAGCTTCCACAATGGAGGTTTTGAACAGGGTCCATTCAGACTCTATTTCTCCTACCTCCTCCGGGACATGAGAAAAGCTCTCCCGGAGGTGGGAGTTAAAATCATTCCGACCAGGGGCCTCCAACAGTTGTTCCCAGCACACCCTCACTATTCACTTGGGCCTACCGGGTCTAACCCTCAGTCTTCCCTGCCATCTGATCCAACTCACCACCAGATGGTGATCAGTTGACAGCTCAGCACCTCTCTTCACCCGAGTGTCCAGAACATATGGTCCCAAGTCAGATGAAACGACAACAAAGTCAATCATTGACCTTTGACCCAAGGAGCTCTGGTACCATGTACACTTATGAACATCCTTGTGTTCGAACTTGGCATTCGTTATGGACAATCCATGCCTGGCACAGAAGTCCAATAACAATTCACCATTCGGGTTTAGATCGGGCAGGCCGTTCTTCCCAATCACGCCTCTCCAGGTCTCCCAGTCGTTGCCAACATGAGCATTGAAGTCTCCCAGTAAGACTATGTATCCCCACACCCGCCCGGCGCCTCTCACCTTGTGCAACCCCGGAGTAGGAGAGGGACCAACCCCTATCCAGGAGTTTGGTTCCAGACACTGTGGGTGGAGGTGAGCCCAACTATATTTAGTTGGTACCTCTCAACCTCCCGCACAAGCTCCGGCTCCTTCCCCCCCAGTGAGGTTACATTCCACGTACCAAGAGCCAGTTTCTGTCGCAGGGGCCTAGGCCACCAAGGGCCCCCCTGCAATCTCCCACTGCCTGTACGGCACTGCACCACTCCCCCATGCTGGACCTTGCGGGTGGTGGGCCCACATGGTCCCCCCACGTTGCTGAGCCCGGCCAGGTTACGTGGGCTGCCCGGCCACCAGGCACTCGCCGAGCGATGCTACCCCCAGGCCTGGCTCCAAGGGTAGGTCCCGGTGACCCTCTCCCGGGCAGGGTACACGATCTTCTGTGTCCATTTTTCATGGAGGGTTTTTGGATCGAGTTAGTCTGGGTCTTCACTCCAGACCTGTTTGCCCTGGGAGACCCTACCAGGAGCATGTTGCTCCCGACGACTTAGCTCTGAAGATCCCTAGACCACACAACAAAACGTAATTTTAAACATCAACAAAACGTAATTTTATTGGGTGTTCCAACTTTTACATACGACTCTATATTATTACTTACATAAGCATTATGTTTAATAAGAAAGAGAAAGGAAAAAGTCAAATAAAAAAAGACCAAGTGAAACTTTGGCACATTTTTACAACACATAAAAAGTATGAAAATGAAGCACTACTATTACCCATTAATTAAAAACATAACAACCATTTTTCTAAAAACAATTGTTTCTGTAGCTTTTGGCCAAAAAAATCTACCCAGGGGAGAGAATCCACTATAAAGAAAGAGATTGAGAGAGAGAGAATAGAAAACATAAAAATGGAAAATTCTCTTGTACTTTGATGGAAGCCCATCATTAGCCTGTGCAAGCAAACTGCTTTCCAAAACAGTATGTTATACTAAGCTATACAAAAAATGTAAATATAATTATAAATTAATAAATGTATATGGAACATGCTCAATGTCAATTTTAAACATAATGTCTAATATCTCAGCAATTGTCAGAATCATTTATCTGCACAAAAAGTGTGTTTGTGCTATAAAAACATCATATATCATTACAATAAATGTAAATAACAGAAATACAGTAAAAAGTAACAGGAATGTTTTGATTCCTAAAAAGTAGCTGATATCTTGTGAGCAAGTTAGAATAACAAAGTTTGGTTCTAGATTTCTCCTCAGTGACTCCAGCCATCGCATGGATTTATTCCATTCCATCAACAACACACTTGATTTAACTTAAAGGGAAACGCCACAGATTTTGCAAAATTATTTAATCATTCAGCTGTTTAGATGTAAACAAAACTATTCAGAGTGGTTTGGTTTGAAATACACCTTTCTAAAGAAATTTGCAGAGTCAAAATTGTTCACCATTGTAGTATTACGAACCAGACGTCCGTATGTCTACACTACAAATATCACCATTTTATCTACTATTAAAAAATGACCACTGAACTATGTGTCTTTTAAGATTTTATGTGTCACACTGATAATGGTAATTTTTTGAGTACTATTTTTTACTTACAACGCCCTGTATGTACCTCTCCGCCCTGCACGTTTGTGTTGTTTGGGTTGGCGGTGTTGTATCCGATTTAGTGTTGAACGGCTGTAGCTACAGGCTATAACTACAAAGGCACGTTAGCTTGTGCACATTGATCTCAGTTGAGAATGTGGTTTTGACAGGAAATACAGAAGTAATCCTGGAATAATATTTTTACTAAAAATACGTTTTAAGCCAAAACTTTATATCAAAACTATCACAAAACAATGCCTCAGACATCAAGAAACGCATTTGTAACCGTTTTGTGTAATAATTTATGGGATGTAGCTTTTAGGCCCATTAAATACTTGATAAATTTCACTAGAAAGATGCATTTCACACCGAACCACTCTGAATGATTTTGATCACATCTAAACCATTGAATGATAAAGGAATTTTACAAAATCAATGGAGTTCCTCTTTAATAAAGAAGTGATTAGCCACACTGGGTATTGGATGATAACTACAAGTAATACTGGGCTGTAATGAGAATGGAAGCAGTTAAATGAACACACTGACATACTTAAAATCACTACTTATTGTGTTAATGTTATTTCTATTTATTGTGTAAAACATAATGTAATTTATAATGTAAAAGTTGCCTTTGTCTTTGTCTGTTTATGTCTGCTTCTCTGTTTCTGGCTGCAGTATATAAAAATGTTGACTCAGCATCTCAAAACATTGCCTTACTTTGTCAAGATAATGACTCATTTTCCTAATATATTGACTTACAGTGTCAAAATAATGACTTACTATGTCAAACTAATGATTTATTGTGTTTTATTTATTTTGACTTGCTATGTCAAAATTATTAATGGTTTTCTAAAAATAATAATGACCTGTTTTTTTTTTTCTTAAAAAAAACTTTTTGGGAATTTATAGACGCATTATTTCAACGTAATATGTTGTAATTTGATATTCTCAAAATCTAGCGAAAATAATTTTGCTACACTAAGTCAATATTTGTTTAAAAAAAAACACTAAAAAAAGATACAGAAAGGAAGAAAAATAAATACAGATTTTTTTCTACCTGGTGGGAATGAGGACTCCCATACCCTTTTTGTGTCTCCCTGTGTAATAGCCTTATTAATCTACCAAGGTTGATATTAATGACTGAATGACTGCTTTTATTTTGGAATATAGGTTGTGTCTTCATCATTTGGGCTGTCCATTGTCATTTATTTATTGTATAGGTTGATTTTTGGTACTATTATCCTTACATTCCTTTCTTCAAAATGCAATTGTTATAATGTGATAACTGATAAAATGTAATAATAATGCACATTTCTTTTTTGTTATGTAATTACTTCTACCTGTGCCGTTTTTCATGTTGATTATGTCAGCAGAGGTTTTTGAATATTGTGTTTTTGAAAACGAATAAAATCTAAAGAAAATAAAAGTCCTCAAGCGCTGCGCTAGTCGCGGGAATGTGACGTGTCCGCTGGTGACGTGTGATTGTTGTCGTGTCGCAGCGATGGCGGTGGATATGACAGTGGTTTTCAGAGCGAGTGTTAAAACTGTAAAAACTCGAAATAAAGCGATGGGAGTGGGATACGACAGCAGCAGGGACGAGTTAATGAGGAGAGACAGACCCAAACACGGCTTCTCCAGCAGAGCGAAAGAGGTGGTGAGTGAGAAAACTGAGCTTAGCGACGAGCTAAAGGCTAAAACTGAGAGAAGAATCAACATAACACGGCATTACAGATACATTATACAACATTACAGGGCATTATACCACTATATTAAAACAATACAGCATCACAGATACATGACACAACATTACAGTGCATTATACCACTATATTAAAATAATACAGCATCACAGATACATGATACAACATTACACTGCATTATACCACTATATTACAATAATACAGCATCACAGATACATGATACAACATGACACTGCATTATACCACTATAATACAATAATACAGCCTCACAGATACATGATTCAACATTACACTGCATTATACCACTATAATACAATAATACAGCCTCACAGATACATGATACAACATTACACTGCATTGTACCACTATATTGACATAACAGCGTTACAGATACATTACACAACACTGCATTATATAACTATAGTAAAATAATACAGCTTTATAGATAAATTACACAACATTTACACAGCTTCACAGTGCAGATAAAGGTAATGTTAATAATTGTTTACCTTTACTGCATGCTGACCTAAAGTTGCTGAGCTTCTTAACCAGATGTGGGTCCTAATAGTTTTGGATGAACCAGAAAAATTTAGTTATTAGATTCCAGAAGTCCTGGAGTTATCCTTGGAGCTGCCTCCAGGTGATGAGTGTCAGTTCCAAGTGTTGAATATTTTTGGAGATTCTTGGATGTTGGAGTGTATGCAAAAGCCAAGACACAAAGAAAGAGATCCAGGCAGTAATTGTTGTAATGTACCGATATGGGAACTGTGGACTGATATCTGATTTTATGCAAATATATGCCAATGCCAATACATAAACATTTATAAAATGTAGAAATTGATGCTAGATGGATCTGGATATGCTAGTCCGGTCAAAGGTAGACTTCTGTCTAATACATTTTCGAGCGCATATCTGCCAATACACATATGTATCTGATATCATTGTGTATTTCTAGTATTATATTAATTGAGTTCATAATCGTATGGTTTATGATGATTATGAATGTCTAGTCTTCTCACCTCAGTTCTCAAGAACACAAATGCCAGTTTAAATATGGCCTTTTAGATCTTAGCAAGGCAATTTGGAGAACTAACGCTTGTTAAATTACCTTAGCTGAATAACAGAGGATAGCTAAACTGTAACGTTTCCTAATTCTTTTCTGTCAACTCCAACTACAGTAATGGCAATGTTATTTATTATAAGTCACTCTTATTTTTTTTACTTTGTTTTCCACTTTGTCCAAAGTAAAATACGGACAGTATATTGATGTATGTCTTCTGGAAGGAGGCATTTTTCAGATAAACTGCCTATGCTGCTGTGTGTAATCAAGTCCAAAGCTTCGGAGTGGACTCTCAATTCCTAAATGCCTAGAATCAGAGAGCTGACTGTTTTTGCAGATGTTCCCGTCGCTACAGAAAACCTAAGTGGGTTTAGTGCACAAGGGCCACAGTGTGGATTAAATATCACATAATGATAAGGCTATACAGTGCTGATCACAGTTTTCCGTTTAGCACAAAGCACAAAGATTGTTATTGGGTGATAGGCACTGGGGGTATTTCACAAAGCAGAATTTCTCGGTTTAGCCCATCTTAAGTCCAAAGGCAAGCCTGTCCAATAGAAAAAGAGCTGAGGGATATTCCTACAGGACAGTCCTCATCGTCAGGCTTGGGGCTAACTGAGAAATCTTGCTTTGTGAAATACCACCCCCCCCTCTTATAATCCACATGTGCACACTGGTTGGCAGTGTTATAGGGCCTGTAAATCTGTTGTCTCACATTCAGGCTGTCCTGAAAACGGTGTGTCCAAGTGAAAATGTACTGGAATATAAACATATTGGCTGTTTATTTTTTTTTATTTATTTATTTTTTTTGCTAATGCACTGCATGGTCACTCCTAAAGGGTGTGCATAACATTGCACATTAGCAGCATAACATTGTGGACATGAGTGTAATGCAGCTGCTGATGGAGATACAAACTCACACATCTACAGTGGATAATAAGATGCTATTTTCTATGCTCTTCTGTGCAGCTCTGTGCTGACACATTCTAACAGTGCCAGCAGCAACCTGTCCAGTGTTGCCAGACTGGGTTTAACCCCCTCGCATAAGAAAAATAGTTGCTCATCAGTGATGTTATTCATTAACTTATAATTTCAATTACATTTTGTTAAAAAGCATGAAAAAAAAGGCAAAACAAATAAATACAATATATTCAATTTATACAAAAACTATAATAATAATAATAATAATAATAATGATAATAATAATACAGTACTGTGTTAGTAAAACATGTGCTTAAAGAATTTAGAGAACAGGGTCCGTATTACAGAAACTTCTTAACTCTGAAATCTTATCTGTTTAGTGACCATAACAACTTCAGTTAGGACTGAAATTATTACAGAGCAACAGTTCTTAAGCTCTTAATCTTATCCTAACTCTAGATAAGAAAACCGAATCATTCTAACTAGACACAATTTCCTAAAGTCTGTCTTAGCTTTAAGACAACCCCAGAGGTGTTGTGTCTAATGTCTGTTTCAGTTGTTTTGCAGTGCAGGCAGTATTATTCACTTTAACTAGCAGAGTGACAATGCCTTGACTTGGATATTTTGAAAATCCCAGACACTGCAAACACAATTTCCACTGTCCCCTCTTATTACCTTTGAGTGGTAATGTTAATGAAAACTCATCATATAAAATGTTAGTGATGGTTGTGAATAATGAGGAGACAGAGCCAAATGTGTTGCTGTTTAAACGTTAGCGCAGTTGGCTAACTGAAACTGGAAAGTGGCGACTCTCTGATAACTAGCACGCTCTCACAATATTCTTAGCTTTATTGCGCTTTAGTTTTGTTTGACCATTTTTACATTAGCAACGATAGCTAACGTTAGCTGTCTGGCTAACTAACTTCATTATTTTGATTACATGTTTACGTTTCAGCTGTGCGCGTATGATCGGTTGCTAGGTGGCAGACATGAGAATTAATTGTCGACTTCGATTGAGTAAGTTAAGATTTCCTAACTTAAGGTAAGATGCTGTAAGACAAGATTCCTAAATTAAGATAAGATTTGCTTCTGTAATACAAATTTGTGAAAAATCTTGACCTGTCAGATCTTATCTTAAGACATAAATATAGGAGGTTTCTGTACTATGGCCCCAGGTTCTCAGATTTAGGGGACCTTCCTAAAATTACATGAAGAAAAAGTATTTCTATTATTGTTACTGTTATTTATATGACACTTCAAAGAACATCACTAAAGCATAAGCAAAAATATTTGCAGAGACATTACTAATGGTACTATTACTAACATAAAAAAACAATAATAATAATAATAATAATATTAATAATAATAGTAATAATAATAATGGTAAGTGATAAATTAGTCTTTTACTCTCACCAGGAGGTGTTACCATAGTTAACTATAATTAGAAAGAGACCTATGAGTGGGGTTGGAGTTGACACAGTTAGGGTTCAGAGGTATTCATAGGTATAACTTATTAGCCCAGATTCCCAGACCCAGATTAATCCTAAACCTTTACTAAAAAGAATATCCAGTGGTAATTCTCTGCTGACACAGTCCAAGGTTATTCCATGTCCAGGACAGAGAGTTTTTGTCCCTTGCAATCCATAGACTCCATAAACACCCTCAGAAATACTCTCCGTTCTTTCTGTCCGAAAGCCAATCCCACCACCAACCTTTGATTAAAGGTGGGGGATGAAAACGGGGCAATATTGGGTTAGGTGCTCAGTAACAGGCTCTAATGGCCACCAGATGCTAGAGAGAACGACTCTTCATCTCCATGTGAAGTTTTTTGGGACAACCCCAGGCAGTGAAGGCCAAGGGGAGTGTAGTGGGTTTTCCGGCCACCTCTTTTTTACCCATTTTGAAAATGTGCATTAAATAAACTGTAATGAAAAGCCAGAAATAAACAAACAATAATAAAAGTCAAAAAAAGAGTAATACTCCTGGGTGAGGTGAAAAAGCTTGTTTATTGTTAAAAGACAAGTGCAAGAAAACAGTGAGGAAACAAATTATTTTGGATAAGCAATGGCGTGTGAGAGCGTCCTGTCAGAACTGCGGTGGCGTTTCCAGGGGTCCAGTGGGACAACGACTTCAGCCTTCATTAACTTCAACCTGAAATCAAAATAGACATTTTTACTTTGTTAGTTCATGTGTTTGGTCATATTAAGTATAACCCACTGTTTCTTATAAATCCAAAGGCAAGATTTTTTTTTTCTGTGATCTGTAATCAAAGTGTAGTGACTTTTTCCCACCTCTAAACGCTGTCTGATGTGTGATTGCATCACAGTGTTTCAGGGAGGGACAAATCATACTAACCAATTATGTCTTATCATGTTTTACTTCCCCCTCCCACCAACCTGACCAAATTGACAAAATCAGTAATTTTGCTTTGGCTTTTCTGCTAAACAAATGGGTTCTGCTGACCAGAGTCGGACTCCATGACTCCATTTTTCGCCCGATTACCCTGTTTCACTCAGAAATATTTCACGTTAAGTAAGAAAAATGCATTCTCATTTCCAATTCATGTTGAGAATAAATGAGCCCTGTTTGATCCATCTTGTCATTTTTGCTATATAAACTGATAAGCAACATAAGATCTCCCTACACATGTATATTCAATAACCTTTTTATCGTCTTTCCTTACTTTTTTCAGCTGCCATTGGCATTATTTACAGTGGCTGTATCAGGTAGAGAGCTATCACTGCCCTAGTGCTTGTAAATATACTGGAAAAGAAAAAGGAAATGAGTGAGGGTGAAATACTGGCCATTAAAAAAGACAGAAATCGTCATCAAACAGCTGCCACCGTTAGCTTGCTAGTTAATCCAGTTCTGGTTACAGAAACACTAGCTTTAAAAACCTTTGTTTCTTGTCATCCCTCAGTTAACAGACAAAATGAACAAAATGAAAAACGTCAACTTTGCATAAAGTTAGTTA